TAGGGCAGCGGTTCTCAACCTGTGGGTCACGATCCCTTTGGCAGTCGAACAACCCTATCAGATATTTACATTACAGTTATGAAGTAGCAACAAAAATAATTTTATGGTTGGGTCACAACATGAGGAACTGTATTTAAAGGGCCAGAAGGTTGAGAACACTGGCTTAATGCTTAAGGGAGTGGTCAGACAAGGACCTGCATGGGAGTTACATGAGGTTATTCTTTGGTCTCCTTGTTCTGCCCTAAGGGGTTCTGCCATAGGACCAGCAACATGTCAGGAGAGGAAATTCCAGGGGAGGGTAAAACTGGATGAGCAGCAAATGAAAGGCCAGGATTTTAAATCACATGATATGCTAAGGAAGGAAAGGTCACCCTGGGAGCAAGGTCCCACCTTACAATACTTGTTCCCCTGTTTTCTCATTGCTGGGCACCTGGGGCTTTCTGCCCTGGTGACCATCTGTACCTGATTTTTGTTCCTACTTGGCTCATATCTGCCTGACTGCTCACTATATCAAGCTGACATAAGAATGATCCTATCAAATAAAGAGGGAATATGCGAATTGACTGCCCCACCCTCAAAGATGGTGGCTCCCATAGCCACTAAGGAGGGAATATGCTAATTGATTTCCTCACCCTCAAAGATGGTGGCACCCACAACCAGTAAGGCTGGAATATGCTAATTAACTGTGAACTCAATCTAAGACCTGAATTGGAATCTTCGGGGGAGGAGCATTGGGCCCTGGGTATCTTGGTTAGTAACAAGCACATCAGGCGATTACTATCCTCAGGCAAGAGGTTAGGGAAATGCTGACTTAGATCAAGGAACCAGAAGTTGTTTTTAATAATTTCTGCTGTGGCTTTCAATATACTTTGCCAGGATCTGCTTCACTCCCCACTTTTCTGCAGACAAAGCCTAGTCAGGTATGCACAAATGCCCTCTGTAAAAAGATAGATGCAACAGCAGGTCACATACCTACAAGAATACTAAGAAGACAACCTAACAGGAGCCTTTACACCACTTTTAAACAAAAATAATAACATTTAAATATAAAGGTGTGGGAAGAACAGAACAAGACCATCTGGGACACAAAGCATAAAACTGCAGGACAAAGGCAGGGTAAAGAGCTTCTGTTTCTTCGGTTTACATCTTTTTTTATGAAAATAATTATTGTCATGGTGGAGAGTGAAAAACAAGGCTTTCAATCGAAGTAAATAGAAAAATTATCTTCATAGTAAGACAACTTATCAAATAATAAAGCATCAAACATTTTTGATCTCTGAATATTGATCGTCATTTTGGCATAAGAGGAAGACAAGACTGATAAAGACTGTTAAAAGGAAAGTAAATCGCCCTAATTTCAAAAACCAGTGAAAATTTGGAAACTGTAGAGGGGTGAAGTTTAGGTATATCTCTGACAATAATTCTAAAACATTTTGTCAGCATTTATATATACACTGTTTGCTCATGAATAAAATAAAAACAAGACATGGCAAACTAACTCTACTTTTTTTTGCTGATACAATGTTTCCATAAGTATCTATCATGAAAATGCAAAGGAAGAGTACACCTGTATTTTAGCAAAGGTTTTTAGAAATGCCCTGATAAACAACAAGAAGAAAACATGTATGTAAGATGACAGCAAACCTAGGTGAGTAGTTGGTTCAAATCTATACCCGCAGTTCTAATGGCTAGGTCCGTTTTCCCCCAGAAGGATGTTTATAATTGCTCAGCGAAAGGGTCATGACTGTGTTTCCACAGCCTGTCGGGAGTGGGTTTTACGGTGCCTTGAAGACAAACAGCCCTTCAACAACATAGGCAGACCATTCTCCAGCTGTCCCTCAACCATTCATTCTCTTGTTGACTTACCCAATTATTTAAGAACAATGTTTATATACCCAGGGCCGTCATCCAGAGTCTGTGTCATTGTATTCCTGTGACAAAATGGTTGGGTTGGAGAAACTATCTCTGTAACTCTGAGACCTCATTACCTGGTGATGCAGTGACTCACTCGGACGTCACTGTTGGCCTTGATGACCACGGGCCCTTGGTTCCCACTGGGGACCAAGGGAAAGTAGAATTGGGTGAGGGACTCTAGATTATTAAATGTAGTTTTTCTGCTGCTCTAAGAAATGCTTGCTGGGGATGATGGAGTTGTAAATTCAGAGAGGAGGTCAGAGATGCTGCTTTTATTACCCTCACTGGACATTCCTCCAGT